TTCTGATTTTAGTTTGTTGTAAGCCGCCCAGAGTCCCCCATTGTGGGGAGATGGGCGGGGAAAGTCTATTAAACAAACAAACAAACAAACAAATATTTATTTATTAACCTCCAAATGCAATATATATATATATATTGCATTTGGAGGTTAGGAATATAAACCAGAAAATAATCCTAGTTAGACATGTCACAGAGTAGCCCCATGTGAAAGCATCCCCAATATGTACATTATATTTTTATATTAGGTACACACTAATAATGGCCATATGCTTTAACAATACAAGCCAAATCTTCCAAGGACTTGGATATAACTTCTTTTCTATCAAGAACCATATTCCTTTGTAGGTAATCCGTTAGATTCCAAGGCCACATTCTGGTGGAAGGTGAGGCTGAAATCCTTACCACTTTTTATTTCCTCTAAGTTCATATATTTATGAATACTAAGTATTTGGTGTTTTTAAAATAATTACTATAGAGGATTATAATTTGTACCTCATTTGCTAGGTAGATAGTTTATAGGTATCCTCAGTATTTGGATTTACTTTTTTCTGACAGAGGCAAGGACTGCTTGCTCTGAAATTATATAGCTCCAGAAGATATTTCTTTTTTCATTATACATTATATACAAATTTATTAGACAATGGGTTTTGTAATTTTCACTTTGTTATCTTAGATTATACTTTATTTACCTGAAAGGAAGATGACCCTGAATTTAAGATGATCTTCCCAGAAATAAACATTCTTTGGAATAGTGTCTTCATCTTGTCAGCCTAGTCTTGGCAACTCCAGCTGAAACCAGTGCTGGAGATTTCACCCCTCTTCCACCAATAAATGTGTACAGGAGGTACAGTTATATATCCATATGTATGTATGCATGTATAACTGCACTGCTACAATCCATACACTAAAAAAGGGCACGGTCAGGAAAAGACATTATGTTTGTTGAATTAAGAACTATTAATTAATTGCCTGTAAAAGATGGTAGTTCCTTTACAGAATTAATTGATGTCAACAATTCTCTCTCACAGTAGCCATTCTTTCTCTCTCACACAAACCACTTTCACAAAGATACAGATAAATACACACATATAAATAAATACACACATAGGTACAACCTCCCTCCTTCTAGCACAGACAGCAAAAAAGAATGAAGATAAACATAAGGACAAGGGGTAGCTGCATTTGGAAGGGAAAGTAATAAAAGAGAGTGAAAGACAGAATCATGTTTATATATATGTAAAACAGTTAACATCCATTGGGGAAATGTCTACTTTTGCTGTTGTTATGGTATTGTAGTTTAATACTTGCAACCTATCTCTGTCTCTATGTGCGCCATCTTGCTATAGATATTAATCGATTGGGCTTTTCAGATTAGCACAAAGAATGTAGGTTGTCCTCTCTCAACTAAATAGCCAGATGTAGATTAATCCTTGAATGTACTTACAATTCCATGCTTCTGTAACAGATCAATGTCCTGGAAAAATGATTCCTAAAGATATGTAAAATTAGAAAGAATATTGGTTATTTTGATACTTATGAACCCATAATTCATTACATATGGTAAAAGGTAAAGTATATCTTAACTATACTTAGTAGTAGCTGTGAATCAAGGAGGACATCCAAGTCAGTCGCACCCTCAGGGCAGTGCCACTCCATCCAGAGAAAATACAGGAACTAGTTGACAACCTTGATGAATAAATGCAAACTCCATCTTGCTTTGGTTCGGGTTCAGCCTGTTTCTTCCCATCCAAGTCTCAATTTTCCAATTTAGTCTACAGCGCCGGTATCTGCTCATGGTCTCCCATTCAAGTCCAATCCTGCTTAACTCTTTTGTTCTCAGCTGAGGTTACCTACCTGCTGCCACCTAACTTTTATTCTTTTGATGCTAATAAGAAATGAGAATACACACACACACACACACACACACACACACACGTTTAATTTATTTGTAGATGAACTATCCATTTTCTTCCATTTCTTGTATGGAATTTTCTCAAAGAACAGCCAACACTGAGAACTGCTACTGAACCAAATGTGTTTTCATACCTCTTCATCTTGGTATCCTAGTTCTTCCTGTACAACTTGATCTTCTAGAGATTTCATTGTGAAAGTTGAGCTAATAGAATTCAGTCAGTGCTGCAGAAACCAATTCAATACTGTTAAAAAGCAAAATAAGCTAATTATTTTATGAGTTTTTGGTGTATACCACATTATGCTGTCATAACAGCACATTTTTGCCTAGCCTAAGAAGACTGCTGAAGTACATTAACCCAGATGAAAGACATTTCATCCAAAAATTATATATTACCCATTACTGCAGTGAGCTGGGCCCTGGATCAGCATTGATCTAGATCCTTTCCAATTAGAAGATACAAAAGGAGAAAGATACCAAAAATGTGCAAGAAAATTTGAGAGATTACTGCTAACATTGCAAGTAAAAACAACCTTTTTCACATCCAGTTCACTGTAATTATGAGTATCTGTAATACATGAAGGCAGTCCTTAATCACTACATATTTACTATATGTTTTAAATTTAATGTCCACAGCTCTTTAGGACATTATAAATCAGCATCCAGAATATGGGCAATAATGAAAAATTTAAATCTGGATATGATGAAATTAATGGTACTGCCTTCCCTTTTGAGATGAGTGTCCCATACAGTTCTTTCTGTTTCATGCTTGGACAGAGCCAAATCTCCCTCAAGCAAGTATGTTTAATTAGGCTAAACTTGTGAAATGATAATACTCTGAATGAAATTAATAACTTTAACAGAGATACTGCTTGGGAGGAAAGGAAGCAAGCATAAAGCTATGGTTACTCAAAATGCATCAAACAGTATCTCTGACTATACTTATATTAATTTATGCTGCTTTCTAATTAATGTTCAAATATTTTCATATACTGCATTAGCTTTCTTGTATTTTAGGACAATTTGTTAATAAAGCTCTTAGTATTTTCAATTTCTTCAGTGTCCTCCAGTGTTCTGAAACCTATTTTGCTAAAGTTGTTATATGCAATTTGTTAAGACTTAAATGTGCTTGCACACACATAAAGTTCAGAAGCTCAATTTCCCATCAACAGGTAGGGTAAAAAGAGATTCAACCTGAGTTAGCTGGAAGGCAAGGGAACATGCTCTCCTGTCCAATTAAAGACTAAACACCATGGGTTATTGTTCTGTTTCCAAGATAAAATCATAATTAACAGTAGTAATAACAATAAATGCAGGATACAGTATACCATCATGGTAATAAAACTACTATAACAATAAAATAATAGGTTCATAGTGAATTTTATTATGGTGAGATTTATCAATTCATGTCATTGGTGTTTGCAACTTAATAATCATCTTTAAATTACACTCTGGTAAGTATAATTGTATATTACTTATATATAGATAATTATATAATCGTATATAATGTTACCACATATATAAAAAAGTGTTGTTCACTTCTATCATAGGCCTCATTTTCCTAAATCTGCAATATTCATCTAACAAATGAGAGGTGATATATTGTTTAAAATGCAATTTTTTAAAAACCTGGCGTACTGCACATACAACATTTCTGATCCACATCCTTCTAGAACACATTTTAATACAGATTTTCTCTAAGAAGGGCCAACTCTTATTCTGAAGACTTATCTCAGAACGAAAGCTGAAAGTGTAAATTTTGCAAAGGCCTCCTTCCTTTCTCTTCCATAAAAAAAGTTACATTTTTATCACAAAGTACTTGCAAAGGAGCTCAGAATGGCATATCAAGTTTCCCCTACTCTCACCAGTATTTACCTCATCAGATGTTCTGCCGTGAGGTAAATTAGATAGGTAAAATGAAGAGCATTAGGTTGTGAGGTAAGTTAGGAAGAAGTTTATCTCCTCTCAGTTCTCTCCTCATGTCGCTTTTATGCCAACTTGTTAATAATATTAAAAGTAAACCTAGCTGGGAGAGAAAACCTGGGAGAAAGTAGTTTGCAGCTTTAGGGACAGAGATGATCATTTCCCTTCACCTGAAATGCTGCTCAGACCTTGCTTTATACGTAGCTGAGTTTGGCCCAAGTTGAAACAGACCGGCCTGCAACTCAGACATGGAGTTTGAAGGACAAAGTTACAGCTGCTGGGGACGGAGCTCCCAAATGGGAAGGGAAAAAGAAGTTAGGTTCTCAAGCGGTGTTTTTGAAACTTGGCAACTTTAAGATGTGTAGACTTCAACTCCCAGAATTCCCTAGCTAAAAAAAAATAATACTATAATTACAGATATAAAGGATTGAATTTCAGAGATGTGTGACTTAGCAGTTTTTGAGAAAATTATATATTCAGTTAATCAGAAAATGTTATCTGATTATCTTTCCCTTTGGAAAAAATTCTTGAACATGCTTGGTCAACATTGAAAGCTTAGGGTTCTTTTTTTAAGACTTACAAGAACAGGTGTACTTGGGATATATTACAAAATTACAGTTTTTGTTGGTTGGTTGGTTGTATAATGTTTTTCTTTCCTTGAGTATTTGTATAAGGTAAATCAATCATTTTTATTTTATTTTACATTTGTTTAAAAATTGACTAATAAACATTGTACAAAAAGTAAAAAAAAAAGTATAGATTCTAATAATGTAAAGTAATAATTCCATTATTTTGCTTTCACAAGAATACATACATACCATTTAATACACAGCTTTATTTTATACAGTACAAAGGTTTCTCACAGTCCAAAAGAAATTTACTGTTTCATGGCAAGGAAAGTTGAAGTAGATTAATTCATGATACAATAGAAATGCAAATAAAGATGTTTTCAGTTCACACAGACACCAGTTGTATGTGTGATGAGGCATGATGAGGAATGACCAGAGATGGTCCAAAATGATAAAGTAAAAAGAGTTGTTGATGCTTATTGGTCACATTTTCCAGTGGAGGATTCCCAGGATGGCTGGTCCAAAAAGGAAACTCTGGGATCTGATTATGCCAGGTTGCTTTCAGCCTTGGTTAAGCGCCAGAGGTTTTTAGGATTTAAGTGACTGTGACATGGATGGTTGCGGCATATGCACAATAGCACAAGACACCTGGGGCAAAAAATCCAATTTTATTCTGCTTCGTCAGACTCCCAACTGAAGTATTCTCCCCAGTTTTGGGCACCACCCTTCAAAGATTCAGAGGAACTGGAACATATTCAGAAAAATGGATGACCTCAGGACTAATCTTTAAGTACTATGAAGAGAGTACTTAAGACTGAGCAGGGATATAATAGTACTCTTCAAAAACCTGAAAGGATGTCCACAGAAGATGGTCAAGCCTTGCTCTGTATCACTTTCCCAACCCTGGCAATTTCCAGATATGTGGGCTTCAACTCCCAGAATTCCACAGTAAGTTGCCAAGATTGGGAAACGCTGCTGTACCATTCCAAAGAACACAGAATAATGGATTTAAGAAAAAGCTTCCTAACAATTAAGAACAGCTAGATAGAAGAGCAGCTCTTACTGTTAGGATTTTTTCTTGTGACCAAATGAAAACATCTACCTCCTTTAAGCTCAATTTTTCTTGTCATATCGTCAGGAACAACTTGAACAATTCTGCCCCAACTTGTATATAGCAGCCCTTCAGATACTTGAGGAGACTTATCATGTCTCCCCAGTTTTCCCTTCAGGCTGAGAATACTCAACACTTCCAATGGTTCCTTACAAATTTAAATTTCTAGGCCACTTATTATCTTGGTTGCTCTCCTCTGCACATGCTCCAGTTTAGCAATGTCCTCCTTAAAAGGAAGTGCTCAGAACTTAATATTCTAGATGAGGTCTGACAAACACAGAATAGAAAGAAACAATGACTTCTCTTAATTTGATATATTTACAATCCATATCTATTGTTGTAATAATTACAACATAATCAAATTACAACATAATTATAACATATTACAGACATAACAGTGCTAGCATAAGTTGAAAAATACATTATGTACTGCAATATGGATAAACATTTTAATATTTGGAAATGCTGTTCTTTAAAAAGAGATACTTTAAAAAATTTCTTTTACTAGGGCTGAGGTGGGGGAACAAAGAAAAATAACACCCGGCACATAAGATTCATTAGGAGCTAAAATGTAGAATTCAGATAACAGATTAAACATTCTAAAGGAAACCTACATATTATAATTCTTTAAAAAAGAAGTATTGCTGTTAATACTTTATCTGTTCAGTCTAAGATGAAACTGGTGTTAGAAAAGCTGAAAATAATCCAATTTAGAGTCAATATATTCTTAAACTGGACAAAAAATGACAACAAAATCAAATATAATGGGAAATAATTATACATGTCATATTCAGAAGTAATAAAAGAAACTATATCCAGTAGTGTTCTCAAAGCATTATCTTATGCTTCCCCCTTAATGTAGTAGTACTCATTTATTTTTAATTAGCAATGCATTTACATTTTGTACCAAACCTAGGTTCACTAATTTTATTTAAATTGTCTTTTTGTAACATGCTTCCAGTGAATTTAATCCTTGTCCAGTTCAAAAGGAGACATCTAAGTTAACTAGAGTGTTTCCCAGATGAATCTTTTGAAAACAGGGATGAAGGTTCTGAACTATTCTGCCCATCCCTGAGAGAAAGCAATTCTTTTTGTTTTTGTGCCTTTCTCTTCTTCATCTCTTCTTGTATAGCTTGTCTGCAGAATAAGGAGACAAGAGAAAACTTGAAATTAATTTGAATAGTGCAAGTAATAGAAATTATCTGAATGTTGAAGCTGAGAAGAAACCTAGGTTATGATTATAGCTAAAGACTGAACCCATGTTTTCTAATAAAGCTGTCAAGAGCACCGCTGGAGGAAAACAAAGACAGAATCTGACCCAACACAGGTTAGAGCCACTATCAAGGCCTACCTTGTGGCAATAAGAGCGGCAAAGCGCCACTACTTCTCCGCCCTTATC